CCTAATACATTTACAGCAGCAAAAACTCGATGCACAGATAATCTTTAAAACGGCCATAGCTTGGCCACCTCTGCATCTGAATCCGCCACTGCAGGAGTCCTCGATGAGCCCAGGGGCGCGGAAACTATGTTCAGCAGAGGCAAACTCCAAAATGCCGAAATGGCCGCTAAGATTAGATAATTGGCCCCCTACAAAACCGAATGGGCCCTTTAAGTCAATGATGTATTCTCTACAGGTCAAAGTGGGTCCTCTAAAGAGAAAATGTGATCCTTGAAGTCAATCATTGGCCCTCTACAGGTTAGAATGGGCTCACTTCAAATCAGAATGAGAGCTCCGCGAATCAGAATGGACCTTGTTAGGCCAGAGTGGGCTCCCCAGGCCAGAATGGGCCCTCTACAGGGCTGAATGAGCCCCTCTGCAGGCCAGAATGGACCCTGCATAGTCCAAAAGATGTCCTATACATGTCAGAATGGGTCCTCCTTGCTTTTACCTAAAAAAGACCTTGGCGCACTACACTGATCTTGTTCAGGTCGGGGCATTCGCTTTTAGTACTGAAACACTGTCCGGCATCGGTCGGCTTTTTATGCACAGTCGTCACGAATCGTTGTTGGTCAGCTGCTGCATCACTGCACTGCTGCAGTGATGTCTATGTCTAAAAGTGGAGTGCGGTATTGACGCTTAGTTCGCATGTGATCGGAGAACTGGAGCTTGTTCCTTTGCATTTTTTGGTTCGATTAGTTGGCTTTCGTCACTGATGTCTACGAAAATGTCATTGACATAGCGTGCGTAAAGTGCGGGACGGAGGGATGCATTTTCAAGGACTTCATTTTCCACGTGGCGCATGTAGGCGTTGGTAAAAAGAGGTCTCAGGAGGACCCCATAGCCGCCCCATTCTTTTGTTGATAGATATTGCCGTCTGGTGTGCGAAATAGTGCCTGTGTCGTACATACTTGCAGGAGGTTCTCCAGAAGGGAAGGACCGAGTTTGAGAGGAAGGATGGTTGGGTGGCGATAGGCGTTTTCAAGTAGGATTTGTGTCGTCTCTTCTACCGGAACGTTTGTAAGTAGACTCTCAACGTCTAAAAATGCTGATAAGCCCGAAGGTTGCGGGCTTTTTTGGATGTCCGAGAACTCGTCCGTTTACCTAAGGCTATGTTTCATAGGAGTGCACGGTGCGATGAGGCAGCTGACTTGCTTGGTCAGTTGGTAGTTTGGTATTAGGCATTGTGAAATGATCAGGCGCAGCGAGTTTTCTGTTTCGTGAATTTTAACAATGTCATAGGCGTAGCAGGGCTGGTATTTTCCAGTAATCTCCTGGAAATGAACACCATCCCTGGCAGCATTGGCGCAGTCGATCAGTTTATTTACTTTGGTTTTCATTGGGTACCCCTCGCTCGAGTGGGGGTCAATTTGACCCATACGCGATTTCAGGAGCTAAGAAAGCTAGAGACACCAAATTCACAGGGTGTGTTGACCTGTGCATGAACTCAGTTAGGTCAAAGTTTGGGATGACTAAGTCATGACCTTAGGGTCAAAAAAGGTCAAACAAGGTAAACTCCTAAGGGTCCCTGGAACCCAGATAACTATTATAAGAAAAAATCACATGCTCGTTTAAGGTAAGCAGCCTCGCTTGATCCTTTGAAGGTCATGCTGACCAAAATCATACAGGGCCGCTTTGAGTTTTGCACTTGGATAAGCGTCATGGATTACGCTAGGCAGTATGTTCCTGAAAACAAAATGTTGACCTGGGTCATTCCAGGTCAGTGACCTATTCTGACCGTAAAAATCTATGGATGGTGTATAATGCGGTTCCTGTTATCAATAAATTCAAAAGAAGTACCAGAACCTACCCCACACAGCAAGCTCTAAAGTAATAAAACAGGTTGGTTTTGACCTTGGTCTGTCATTCATATCTAACCTTAGGTCAATGCAATTTGTTTATTCAAATGTTTTGTCGCCAAAGAAAGCATCTCAGAAATGTATGGCTTCGTCTAACACTCCGTTGATGGATCAGATTGAACGATTCCCTAAAAATTGTCTTGGCTCAAACCATGGCCTGATTTTACCCGTCGGAGGCCAGCAATTTTGCAAGGTAAATATAAATTTTTGATCTCAGGCAATCCGTTTTTCAATTGTTAACAGCCATGCAAAATTTGACGCGGCTACGCCGTGCCGTTCGGAAGCCATTCCGGAAAAACCTTCGGAAGGGGGGGGTAGGGGTGGGGGCAATTTGACCACCCACTCAAGCGCGTGTTTATATGCTCAAACTTAGCTTCGTCTGAAACAATTTTGTTGAACTTTTTATGGTTATCAGACTTGTCAACAATCACGTATCAGGATGTCTCCTCGGCTCTCAGTGCAAAAAAACGAGTGCCCCGACCAGTACAAGATCAGTGTCGTGCGTTCCTACCTCCGAGGAGCCTTTAGACTCTGCTCTGATTGGACGGAACTACGCAGTGAACAGCAGCGCATCAAACAACTACTAGTAACTAATCGCTACCCCAACAGTGCCATCGACCCTGAAACCACCAGCTTTATGTCACGATGCCAGTCAAAAACTGA